CCCAGCCCCATACCAAATCACTTGCCCTTGAAAAGATGCCCCACAATGAGTTTCAAAATCCAATTTTGCCTCTTGTCATTGAGTAGCCAAGTTTGGCCTCGTTGTTGATGAAGGACATCAATCCCAGGTAGGTCTCGATCAGCAGAGGACGCTCCAGCACAAGCACACCATTTGCCCTTCCTGGCAATGGAGACTCCTTCTGGGCTTTCTTCACGGCCTGGATGAGCTGAGTTTTGAAGTTTTCCAGCTGAAAGAAAAAAGTCATCTCGGTGTTCTTCCTTTGTTTTAAAGATTGCTGGATAAACAGCTAGCATTCATCAGCCTTTGCATTGACTTGTAAAGGCTGAATGCCACTGCTGTCATCATGTATCTTCCATGCCATGATAAACTTTACGTTCTGACATTTAACCTTCATGATACAGTTAATACCAGGACACTATTTATGTGTAACTGAAATGCATGGCCTAGATGTGTAAAGATTTACCAGTGACTTAATGCTGTTTCTTTCTGATTGCCCTTATCACTGACGTGCTGAACATAAATTACTATGGTGTTCTGGTTTTAAGGGAAAGCAACTATTGCAAGTAAAATGGAGAACCACCTAAGTGAAGGTTTGCAGTCAGCAATTAAAGTGTTTATTTAGCTGGCAGTCCTAGAAGTCATCAGGCATCAGCCTGTGGGGTAAGTCAGAGAAGGATCCATCTCTTTGCCTTAACTGCTTCCACCTAACTGCTGTATCTTTCCAAAATCATCCAAGACATGCCCAGCCTAGGAGCTCAACAGCCCATCTAGAGCAGGGGAGGCCAGTTCCTTACCAGGCAAAGGGAGGCCACCTTCTCATCAGCGTCTGCCATGGGGTGCTCGGTGAAGGTGACGTAGGGGATGCTGGTGGACCACGGGTTCCATCTGTTGATGAAGGAAGCACGACTCTGCTTGTCCCACTGAATTCGAATCCCGACACCTTCTCGCCTGATGTTGAAGACAACACAAGTAACAGGGTAAGACTCTGGACTCTTTGAGGTCAGTTCAACTGGAAACATGCTGTCTGAAACAGACAGGCTTAGAACTGGAAGCTGAAATACAAGTTTGGTAGTAAGTGTTTCCTCTAGATCAGTAAGAGAAGAATTTGGCCTCTGGAATATGCAAAGATACCTTCTTATAAGCTAGGGGCAAGAAGGTGACGCTTGCTAGATGCCCAGGACCCAACATCTGAACTGCATTGCCTGTAATAGCCTGTGTTGATGTATGACCTGACATTTACACATGGCTTTCTAGTAATGCTAAGGTGGTACTACTACTGCACTACATAGAATCATTAGGGTTGGAAAGGCCCTTAAAGCTCATCCAGTTCCAACACCCTGCCACAGGCAGGGACACCTTCCACTAGACCCCGTCCAGCCTGGCCTTGAACATTAATGGCAATGAACTTCTGCTCCCAAATCTACTCATCTTACATTGAAAGTCCTTGAGCAACTTGCTTTTAATGTAAGTGCTGATTGCCCCACCAAAATAGCAGCTACTCCAAGGTCTTATAGTAAGGCTGAGCAATAGTTTGCGAAGTCAGGTGAGCAAAAGGAGAGCTCTCAGCCATGGCCAGCAGTTAGGAGCAAAGGTTTGACAGCTCCGACTGCTCAAAGTGACAACAGGAGTTACAATAACACTGCAGCGTTACTGCATCAACTCACTTGTTCAGAGACTTAGAGGGGAACTCGAACTGCCCAACCGAGATGGTATCGACGGCGCTGAGGGCGATCCTAGTCACATGCTGGCACTGCAGGCTGATGAAGTTGTATTTGCAGATGAGGAGGGACCAGTCTGTGATGAGAACCAGACGCTCCTTCTCATTGTTCCAGTGATCGATCCTGGCCAGGCAACAAGACCGAGCTTCAGCGGTCTTGGTCATGGGCAGAAGAATCACGAAGGAGAATGAACCCATTCCATCAGGGCCTTTGCTTTGAGTCAGCAAGTCCGACAGGAGGGGGAGTGTCACAACAGAGGGAATACTCTGATTTTCTTAGTAAGTCTGAGGATTTGGAGGTGTTATTGGAGAGCAAATGCCCCTTAAACAGGGCGGATGAGCCCTCACCAGCACTAGAGCGTGTTTAACACCACGCCATTAGTGTGCTGCCATGCTGGCTGAATTAACTGCAGTGGTGCATGCTCAGGGGAAAGAAACGGTTTCCTTTACCTGTGTGGTCTGACAGCCTTTTCCTCTATAAGAACAGCCTGTACACAGAAAACCTTGTCTGTTTCTTCACATTTCATGGATAAAAGATTTCACCTTTACCTGCTGCCGAGCCATCACAGCTATAATACTGTATCAATGTCAGGGCAACCCAGGAGTAGATTATGTTTTAACCCTTAGGGTCGTAAGATTTTGGAACAAGTTAACTCAGGGTCTGCATCTCACCCTTGGGTGGGTTTGGGCTGCACGGGGATAGGAGCATGATGCAGCCAGCCTCAGCCCCTGCAGGGCTTGTTCTGCAGGTAACCAGGAGCAGTTAAAGCAGAGCAAAGCGGGGATGTGCGGGTTGGGGGGGGCAGGATGGAGGGAAGGCCGCAGGGGGTGCAGGGAGGGAAGCAAGGCCGCGCTGGGGCAGGGGCAGGGGCAGCGCTCACTCCGCCAGCAGCCAGACGCTCTGCACCTCCCCGTCCTCGGCGGGCAGCACGACCGCGCGGATCTCGCTCACCGCCTGCTCGATGGTGCCGGGCTGCGGGGCAAGGGGGGGACACGTTACCGGCTGCGGGGGCCGCTCCGCTCCGCCCCGCTCCGCTCCCCCCCCCCGCCCCGGCGGCGCGGCCGTACCCGGAACACGAAGTACTCCCGCAGGCGGCCGCCGCGGGTCGCGGTGCGCACCGACACCGGCCGCAGCGTCTGCCGGGGCGGCAGCAGCGGCCCGGCCTCCCCCGGCACCAGCACCGCGGCCGCGGGGCTGCCCCCGTCCCCGCCGCCGTCCCCTTCGCCGCCCTCCGCCGCGTCCCGGAGCTGCAGCATCGCGGCCGGCCCGGGCGCTCGGTGCCTTCCGGGGCGGGACCGGCACCGGGACCCCCCCCTTCCGAGCCCGCCCCGCGCCGGGGGCGGGACTGGGGAGCACAAAGGGCACGCGTGAGCGGCGCGGGCAGCGGCCGTGCTGCCGGAGCGAGCCGGGACCGGGCGCACCGGGTCCCGCGGTACCCCGGGGGGGAGCGCAGGAGGGCGGCGGGACCCTGCGGAGCCCTGCGGCCCCCACCGCATCCTGCAGCTCAGAGCGCTGGGGATGGAGGGCAGGCTGGCATCTGCCCTGCGGTCCCCGGCGTTACTGAAGGTGCTATCCCTCTTCATGCTCTGTCTGAGCGCTTCCCAGGGCTGCTTTACCCAGAGGCAGGGGGTGACGTCCTCCGCAGCGCTGCGATGTGGTACCCAATTGGGAACGCACTAAATTGACTTCAGTGACGCTGGGGTTGCAGATACCCACCTTTCACACGTGCTACAAGAGGTCTCTGTTGGGCTCGCTGCAGCCCGTGCTCACAGGAGCCTGTTTACATGGGGAGCATCGCGGCTTTCTTTAAGGTGACTTATAAAAGCGTTACAGGGTTGAATTTAATGCTGGGAAACCTTTAACGCTGCAGCTCTTTGCATCAGAGCGTCCTCTTCTCCCTGCAAACCCAGGGGATGGGCGGTCATGGCCCAGGGAATGGTGGTGGCCGAGGGATGGCCACAGCCCGAGGGGTGACCACGCCACTGCCCCTTGCAGCCAGACCAGCCCGGACGCTCCTGGTAAGTTGTGCCCTGCCCGCTGTGGCCAGCATCGCTTCCTGAGGCACAGCGTGGAGCTGAGGGGGGCTGGATCCGCATCCCCGGCTGTGTCCTGGAGAGGGAGCCACGCTCCTGTTCTATGCTTGCTCCCTCCGAGCACAAGGAGCACAAACCCCTCTGACCATTCCTGCCGGTGGGCATCTGGTCGGGGTCTGTGCCGTGTCTCATGCAGGGCCCTGAGCTTTCACCTCTTGCACGTCCAGGTACCGCATTCACCAAGGCCGGACCCAGAGCGAGGACGGCCGAGTGCAAAGAAGCCTCTTGGGTCGCAGAAGTGCGTGCTGGAAGTCCCTGGGAGCAGTCCTGGCGTTCCCTGCTGTAAGAGGAGTCCTGACGTTTAACGTCCGGACAGGAAAGCGGAGGCCTGAATTTATTGTACCCTGGAGCTCTCCCCGTCGTTATAAAACATCTTGATGGAGCTGCCTTTCTTCTCCAGGAAGAATGAACGGTGTTGTCTTCCCATCTGCTCTGCTTGGCAGATACTTCACTTTAAGTGGAAGCATGAGCCCCTGTTACCCACGCTTTGCTCTGACCCGGGGGATGTGTGCAAGTCCTGTGACTTGGGAAGGGTTGAGGTGCAAAAAGGAGCTGCCTGCTTCCTTCTGTGAGCTGCCAGCTCTTGGGCCCGGCTCCTTGGTGGCATTAAGTCCTGATGGAATGGTGGCAAAATACGTGTGTGGTGTGGGCACTGCAACACCCAGACCTTCCCCTCCTGCTCTCTCAGGGTCTGTATGTGCCATAGATCAGGTCTGCAGCTGCACTGATTCCCCCTCACCCTGGGGAGAGGTTGCTGCATGTTCTTGAGGTGGGAGAGCTGTAGTGCAGCATCCCTGCTCCGCTCTGCTCTTCCCCGTCCTGCTGTCCTGGCTGCCATGCACCCGTCCATCCCTCCGACCAGGACAGAAGGAAGGAAGGATGGCAGGAGCGCTCTGCCAGGCCGGGCAGCTGATGCCCATGGCAGTTCTCTGGAAGAGGAAACTGCAGTGAACCAGCTCAGCGCTAGGCTTGGCACTTCTCCTCCTGTTCTCTATTTCACAGGGGCCAGTGAGCTGTCACCCAGCTCCAGCAACATCCCTACCAGTGCCTCTGCTCGTGCTGTTTCCTTATGGAGCAGGGAGTTTGCTGGGGAAAAGGCAGGCAGGAATCTCACCTCGTTCCCCAAGTCCCTCTTTGCCTGGTGCATTCCCCACCACCCCAAGAGCTGGCTGTTAACAGCGCTAAGCACAGGTCGGATGTGTCCTTGGCTGGTTTATGGCCTTTATTCCTTGGGAACTGATCCTTTTTGTTACCTGCTGGAGCACAGAGGAGAAGATTCAGCCTCTGGGGGATATTCTAGGAGCTGCTGGACAAGGGGGTTGGGGTGGTGTGCGCGGCGTTGGCCTTAGGCAGTGCAAAGAGCTGCCTTGGAGAAACCAGCCCGAATCACGCTGCTACTGTTCCGCAGGGTCTCCCCCTCCTCTCCGGGGTTGGACACGGCCGGTGGGAGGGATCTGTGGCTGTCAGCAAGAGGAGAAACAAGAGAGCATGTGAGGGAGCGGAGCCGGACCTGGGAAGGCAGGAGGGAAGTTCAGTTACTGCCTTGGAAAGCAGGGAAGCTGCTCTCCGTGTGTGCGGGACTCCATCCCCTCTCCGGAGGAAGGTGGGAACTGTGGCAGCAGCAGAGGATGGCTCCATGGATGCAGATGGGATAAAGGAGCTCTCTGCCTGCTCTGGGAGCTGGAATGCTCCATGCACGGGAGAGTCTTTTCTCTTCCCGGGTGCTGACTTTCATATTGCCTTGTGAAGCGGATCACAACTCCAAACCGGCTCCAGACCCACATGAGGCTTCGCTGCTGGAGGGAGCCCGGGTCCTGTGAGCCACCGGCTCTTTGGGCTCTGTCAAGAAGCAAATGCCAGAAGGAAAAGTCACTTCTGTGCCCTTCCCTGCGAGCAGATGAGCATCGGAAGCCAGGTCTGGTTTGGGGGACATCCCGGTGACAGCCTGTGCTGTAATCACTTCCCATGGACCCAGGGAACTTGCTGAGCTGAACGGTGCAGGAGCAAGCATCCAGGAATGATGAACCTGCCCTCCCTGTGCAAGAACTCCCATGTGCTCCTATAGCATTCCCTTTGGAAGAGGAGCACACCAATGAGCTGGGAGCAGGAGTGTCCTCTGAGGAACAGGAGAGAGGGCTCCGAGGTTTTCCAGGCATTGGAAGCACTGTGGGTGCGATGGGGTCTCATGCAGCAGCACTGGTGTTCATCCTGGCCCTGCGAGTGTCCTCTCTTGCTTCTGGGAGCAAGCTCCAGCCCCATATGTAAGTAGCAATAAGAGCATCCTTGATGGGGGGGTGGGGGGGAGGTTGTAGGGCAGGGAAGTGTAAAGCAGAAGCTAAATGTGGTACTTCCAGCTCTAGGGGGAAGGGAAGAGCAGAAGAGTGAGGGGGGGGGTCCTGTGCTGCTTTCTCTGCTGCCAGCGGGACAGAAAGGGGAAGAGTCATTGAGAATGCAGAGTCTTTGCTTGCTGTAACACTGTTTGCAACCACGGTGCCTATTGTGGGAGTGCAGGAGGTGACTGCAGTGGGAAAGCTGTGCCCTTTCCTCCCAGGCCTGCTGGGTTTATGGCACTTCACGCATGGTCCTTCCCCCTTTCGCTGTCGGCAGCAGCACGCAGCCCGTTCTGTTCAGTTACACTTTACAGTTACCGTCGGGTGTTACTCCTTTGGCTTCCTTGGAACCCCTCCTTGTGGATCTGGTCCCCTGCCAGAAGATGATCTCCCCATGCAGGGGGGGCTGCTCTAATCCCTTTGGTAGCGAAGCGGCGTCGCTCGTGCCGTGTGCCAGCTCCAAGCTGCTCTCCGGGTGGTTTTGACTTCCTGATCGATAAGGGCCCCTTTTCAGCAGATAAAGGTCCCACAAGAAGATGCTTTCTCTCCCTTTGTGAGAACTTTGTGCTCCTGCCTCGACAACTCCTTTTAGGAACTTCTTGGATGAGCCCCTAGGGATGTGTGCCAAGGCACTGCAGAAAAGAAAGCAGCAGCGCCTGGGAAGTGCTGTCCCTTCCCACAGGGCACCGCTGCACGCACAGCCACTCTCTGGGGCACACAGGACCCTTTCTTCTCTGTAATAAATGACACCCGCAGGGTTTTGCTGCCAGACGTGTCCGTGGGGATCCTTCCAGCCCTGGTTTTGGATGAGCAGACGCTCAGAGGTGGGCCCCCCCCTCCCCAGCATCAGCTCACAGCAGTCCCTGTGTGCCCCTGGGGGCATGAAACGGCTCCGCTGCAGCCCTTGTGCTGCTGCAGTGATGTGTGTGGAGCTTGGCAAGGCCACGGCTTGGCAGTGGGCACACGGTGGGGTGAGGAGGGGAGCGATGCCGGAGAGTAGGAGATGTGCTCTCATCCCACAGGCACTGCCAGGGGTAGTGAGTGCCCTGCAGCAGCCCCATGTGCTTCTCAACGTCCAGGGTATTGAGTGGAACCTCTTCTATAGGAAGTATGTGTGTGAAAGGATTGGAAGCAACAGGAATGATCCCGAGTAAGGAATGGCTCATAACTTACCGAGTCAAAGGTTTCCCTCCTCTTTCTTAGTTCAAATCTTGGTGAAAGAGCATTAGTTTTAGACAGAAATAAAATGCAAGTGGTGCTTCCCTCATTTTCCCCCTGAGCTCCCTCAGTTCACTTACTTAATGGCATTAGTTTTACAGCCCTTAGCTCTGAATGAGTGAGAAAGCATCTAAGCGGACTGAATTCTAATCTGAAGCACTATTAACAAAACAGTATCTCATTTCTAGCAGCAGGATAATTTGTTTTCCAAACAGTCAGGAGATGCAGATGTCGTCGGTGTTTGCATTGAAAACAGTCAGGAAACCAGTCCCCTAGGCGCAAAGAGCGCACATGCATTCTTCATTAACCGAGAGTGGACGGAATGGAGATTTTCCATCTGTAAGGACGGGTTTGTGATGTTCGCGGTGCGGTTCTGCGACGTTTTACCGATTCATTCAGGCCTAAAGACATGCTGCTGAGAGACAGAGGTGCCCTTTCTGCCCCGTGTGCTTCACTGGTAACAGGCTGCTCAGCAGGGCATCGCAGTGCTTCGGGGGGTGCCTGGGCCGCACTGGGAGCGGGGTGCCCGTCCCCGCACCGGTTTAGTGAGACGAGGAGGCAGGTCCTGTGCGCGGCGCAGCCTGTCCCTCAGGAAGCAGCTCCCTCACCATCGCTTCTGTGTCCAGGCCGAACGTCTGCGCGGAGCCGGAGGTGCTCATCGTGGGGCAGCGGCAGCCGCGTGTCCAGGCCTTCACCCGCAGCGTCCAAGTGTGGAAGCCGGACTGCGGCGCCCGGCGGCGGTGCGCGGGCTACGAGCGCAGGTGCGTGCTCTTCCTTCCGAGCGCTCTGGGTTACGGGGAGCCCATCGTTGCCCTGGGGGGGGGCCGGCCCAGGGACCAGCCTCACTAACTGCGTGGTACCCTCAGAGGAGCCGTAGCAGGCAGGAGGGGCTGTGAGCATGGGCAGCAGTGCGAATAATGGACAAGTAATGGACCTTTGTTACCTACCCGGTGGGCAAACTGCTGTGCCCGATCTTCTCTGTGCTCCACCTGCTCTTCCGGCCTCATCGGCCGGCTACAAGCCTTCCCAAAGCACTGATTACGGTAGTAGTTTCAAAGCAGCATCTTGGACTAGAGACAGCTTTAAAGCCTTGGCTTGAGGAATTCCTCCTAACCTGTAATTGCCGGTAATTACCGTGGTGATGATATCTGCGTGGTGGTTCCAAAGGAGCAGAGTCCCTCTTTTGGCTGTGTTTAATGTTCAAAATGAGAGGTGCCCTGTCTGCTCCTGCTTCAAAGGCTGGGAACTCTTGAGAGCCAGATGCCCCTTTGGTCCTTTCATGTCTGGTTTTGAGGCTGTAAGTCAAGGGACTGAAGTGAAAAAACTCTGTTGTACTTCATTATAAAGATCAGAACAGCCTATGCTAAACCTGTGTTCCTGGTGGGAATACAGAGGTGAAGCCTGGAGGTACTATGGGGGCTTTCACACAAGGAATTCTAAAAGCAAGGCAGCAAAAGGACTGTGAGCAGAACTTAGCAGTACAAGAGCAGAACTTCCCCCAGGCAGGGTTTTGTCCCACATCCCCTCCCTCTGAACTTCTTCTGGGAGCTTATCCCAATAGGTGGAAGATCTCCTGCCAAGCTCCCTTGTGCTGAGCGGCCGAGGGCAGCAGAGCACGGGTTCAGCATTCCCAGGGATGCTCCCTCTGGAGCTGCTCCAGCTGGACCTGGCTCTGGCAGCACAGGGAGCAGGAAGCGCATTAACAGCTTCAGGATCTGACACACACGGGGCTGGCCTGGAACTGCTCCTGGTGCCTTTGAGGACATGGATGCAGCCAGGAAAATCCAGCATCTGCTCTTCCCTTCCCTGGCACATCATTCGGTGCTGCTGCCCAACTCGGCCGCTTGGCAAGGAGCAGCACCAGTTGCTGATGTGCCATATCCATAGGTGTTAGAGCTGTGTCCTATGTGTAGTTAGTGTCCTAAAATCCATGGGCATGCTCAGGGTGCTGCAGACCCTGCCACAGCCCCATTGCTGTGCCTGCAAGTGCAGTGTAGGGGGGTGAGCTGGGGACAGGAGGTGGTTTTCTATTGAGTTTGTGCATTCTGCAGCCAGGAGCATTTGCTTTCAGAGGACTTGCATGTATGGGATTGCAATGCTACCTAAAAGTGAGCACAAACCTTGCTCTGCACCAGCCCAGGATGTGGGCCCTGCCTGTCTGCTCCTTGGCAGCTGACCAGCGCATCCCCTGGGCTGCACATCCCGCTATTCCTGGGAATGGGATGGTTTTCCTACTGGTTGTGCAGTCTTCCTGAATTAGGTAAGGATAGGAGGTAGCTTTGCTCCCCCTGCAGTAATGCATCTTGGAGGAGCAGCAGCACTGCCCCAGAGGGGCTGGATGCCGGTTTTCCAGGAGCAGGATTTTCAAGCCTTAGTTCTGGGTTGTTCAATGTTTTCTGTGCCAGGGACTCCTTAAAGCACAAAGGAAAACAGAACCACTGAAGATAAAGAATCTCTGCGGTTCTCTCCAGTCTGCAGCATCCGGATACCCACAGGCAGCTGAGCCTGGCAAAATATTTGCATCTCCTTGAGAACCCACTTGAGCCGAGTTAGGGATGTGAAGTGTCCAAAGGCTTGTGGAGATGAGGGTGGGAGGGAGCAGAAGAGAGCCTGGGGTTAGTCCTGAGCTGTCCTGCGTTCATTTCTGACCTTACACAGGGCTGTGGAACAGGCTGCTCACTGCCATGCATGGGAAGAATGGTGTTTTCCAGCCTGTGGCATCCACTGTGTCCATTCCTGTTTCCCAAGGTGCTGTGTTTGCCATAATGGGCTGGGCTGGGCGATCACTCTGAGTCCCATGTGGGTCCAGCTGGACCCAAGCCCAATTGCTGGTTGCTCTGGTGTCTGAGGGACTGCAAATTGCTTTCTCAGCTGCTCCTGGGACACAACTATTTCCTTCTGAATTTGTTAACAGCTCGTCCAGGGAAGCATTGGTGTCTGCTCCTGTTTGTCAGCTGTGCTTCCATGTGCTGGCTGGCACAGGAGAGCAGCCACAGGGCTCCTGCATGGGGATTAATGGCTCGCTGTGATTTTGGGGGGAGAGGTGGCGGTTTGCAAGCATCCAGCCAGACCCAAAGAGCCAGACTGAGCTGGGGTAAATGCTTCCAGTGGACACGTACAACACATCTGCGGCACCCAAGAGCTGTTGTTGTTTGTCCGCTTCGCTTTGGTGTGCTCGGTTTCATGTTGTGCCAAAGGAGCTTTTTGAGAATCAGCTTCAAACGTGGTCCCTGTTTCAGGTTTCCCAGAGACAAAACAGCGAATTTCCGGGGAGGGGAAAGGGTCACTTCTGTTTATTTGTGCTTCAGATCAATCCCTGCTTCCCTGCCCCACATTCCACCCTGGAAGTCACTGGAAGGAGGCGTTAAAGGGACCTTCAGCCCCCAGTGGAGCGCGGTGTCCCGGCTCTGCCGAGCCTGGCTGTGGAAAACACAACTACGTGATGAGCTTTTTGAGCCATAGAGTCAGGGAATGGTTTAGGTTGAAGGGACCTTAAAGCTCATCTGGTTCCAACCCCTGTCCCAGGCAGGGACACCTTCCACTAGAGCAGCTTGCTCCAACCTGGCCTTGAACAGTGCCAGGGATGGGGCAGCCACAGCTCCTCTGGGCACCCTGTGCCAGCGCCTCAACACCCTCATAGTCTCTCATATCTCCATCAGGATTCCGATGGTTTTTTAGCTCAGACACCCCCTTTGCTCACTAGAACTGACTGAACTACCTTAACATTTAAATTTCCTTTACGAATGAGTCGTTTGAGAGGAGCTCGGAGCTGTGAAATAGCTTAGCAAAGGAGAAGAGTCAGGGGTGTTATAGGACCCGGCCGCTCATCTCTCCTCTTCCCAATTGGAGCACATTAAGAAGTGTTTCCTTGGCATCAGCGATCATTGCTAGACCAGGTGGAAAATGTCAGCACATTTGAAAAGCTAATTCCTGCCTCTGTGTGCACCCGCAGGTAGAGTTACAGCCTTCCCGTTCCCGTGTTCCGCAGGAATTCACGTTGTCCGGGTGGAATCTGGGTTTGTTGTCTTTCAGAACTGGCTATTACACGGGCTACAGGCAGGTCTACAAGGTGATGTACCAGACCACGTACAAGTGCTGTCCAGGGTGGTCCCAGCTTGGAGGTGATGCCGGCTGTCTCTACCGTGAGTATCGTGCTCCTCGGGTGCGAGTCTCCCTCTGCTGCTGGCAGGGTTGGGTTTGGGCTGAGGATGCTCAGTTCAAGCCCTATCCCTGCAGTAAATGGTATAAAAAAGGCTTTAAAAAGAGCTGGGATGGGGGGGTTGTTATTTGTATTCCTTTTTCCTGTGCATCGGGGGGGGGTTCTCTGGCTTCCCAGGAAGTGCTGTGTGTTGCTTCCCGGTTTTCCCATTTCCCCATCGCAGCACGGAAGGGTTTTCAGTCACATTCATTCCTCCCATTGCCAAACGCCACTAAATGTATAAAATCAGGCCCAAACTGGTGTTTCAAGTGGTGCCGTTGGCAGAAGCTCTGGAAAGCTGTAATCCGAGCCCTGAGTGGGCTTGTCCCTCACTACAAAAGCCAGTAATTGCTGTCTGTGTGATCGAACGTGCCAGTGACGGATGATGTGCCGGCTGGTTGGTTTTACTCGGCCTTCATTAGAGATGCTTCCTTGGAAAAGGCAGCCTTAGGCCAATTGCTGGGGAATTTGGCCTCAGTGCTGCACTCCCAAAGGACTGGATTTTGGCCAGTGGTTCCTCATTGGAGCCTGCTCCCTGGCCATTCCCACTCCAAACCGTGGGTGAGAGTGGGATTCATCTCTCAACTGACTGGGATGAGGCTCCTCAGCTACTTTGGAAAGGGGGGGGGTTGGGTGCTATAACTGTTACTTGAATACTCACTGAACTTGAGACCCACCTTGTCCTCCCCATCGCCTGCTCCCTCCATAGCCAAAGGGTGAGCATTTGGTCCTTGTGGGACCCAGCAAGGGATGTTGAGGCACCCCATCAGCCGCGTCCTGCTGGGGATATACTGGTCTTTGCTTCTGAGGTGTGGAGAGCAAAGTAAAATCTTCTCTTGAATCAAACAAAGGCTTATCTGAGCATGTGTGTAGGAATAAATGTCGCTATCAAGGCAGAATCACCCAGGCTCCCTGCGCTGTGTTATTAATTCTCTGCCTGGCTGCATACTAGAGCTCTGATCCTTTCTGAACTATGCTATTGGAGGTGTGCTCCTGCCTGCACCATAGAAAAGCAGCTTCTTTTTAAGTAATAGGCAGGCAAGCCAACAAAGGGTTTGGGATCCAACCTACCTTGCCAGCAAGGGGATGAAAGATGCTGTGGCCAGCTCCATTGTAAAGGTGATTTAGGTTGTAATTGAGCCACAATGTAGGAAAATGTCTCCCACAGGTAGTCACCTTTTGTTCCATAGAGAAGCTGCGTATGCCTTCTGTGTGCTGTGATGCTTGAAGCAAAGGTTTGAAAGGCAAGAAGAAAAAGGTGTGCCTAGCAGCCAATCTTTATTCTCTCTATTCAAAAGCCTGCAGCACAGGAGAGCAACCCCACTGTGCCAGAGGAAGCTCCATGGGTGCCCAATAACCTGCTGTCGGTGCACGGATAACCACCTCAAATGAACTCAGACCAGTGCGGGCTGTGATGGTTTTTCCTGCTGAGGAAGTGAGTAATTCCATCCAGGAAGGAAGCAGGGAAAAGGAAATGAAGCTGCTCAGGGCACGCTCTTAACTCATCATCCTCATCACTGGGACCAACACTCGGAAGCTGGACAATGGTCTCCACAGGCTGCTGGCTGCAGGGTCAGAATAGAAAGAGGAAGACTAGAAAAGAGGGAGGTGCAGCTCTTTGAGACTCCCAGTTAATGTCACACTCGCTGCTGATGTGCTGCTGGTGTTTATTTTCTTGTCGTGCTTCCGTCGGTAGTTCCTGCTGCTCTCTTTTAAATGGGTCTTGTTTACACGTTTGCTGTGTATTATTCCCAAGAGCAGGAAAACTAGTGGATGTTTTGCAGCTGGAGAGTAAGCTGAAGGCCAGGTTGCAAAGTCCTAGCTTTTCCCTTGCTTCCCCCCATTCAGCCTTATACTTCAAAGCGAGAATGTGGGTGATGTGATCAGTTAAATGGTATTTCAGGAGGAAGGACACGGATGCATCCTGTGCCATGGCTGGTCTAGCGTAGCTGGAGGAGCATCCCACAGCCTGGACCGAGCCCATGGGGTGGCTCTGCCTGGCTGGTACCCATGCAGGAGTTTCTATCCTGATCTTCAGACTCTCCTAAGGAATGCTTCTGGTTTCTTCATAACTGAACCCTCATCCCGAGGAGCTCCCAGCTTTCGGGTTGCAGGGGTGTGATGACTTTTCCTGCTGTGGCCTTGACCAGCTTGTTCTTCTGGGCCAGAAGAAGGTGTAGGAAGGACTGGCCGGGGAAATGAGTCACTAAGTATTAGTGTAGTGCTGAGGCAGGGAAACAGCCAGGGCATGATGTGTGTTAGAGGGTTTTCTGCTCTGCACACAGCAATCGCCAGGCAGCCTGTGATCACTGGTGTAGCTGAGCTGAACACAGCGAAGCTGTGCCAAAATATGTCAGCAGGATTTGTGGCCCTTCCTATCTGTCTCCAGAGATCATTGATCGTGTTCCAGGAGCACAAAGGTGGGGAAGGCTGTTGCTGCTGACAGTTTAATTAGAGCTGTCGGAGGCCACACGATGGAATCGCTCCAGCAAGGACATCTTATCTTGCCTTCCCTCGGAGGCTGGCATCCCATCACTGCAGCGCTCTCCTCGCCCCAAATGCTGGCCTGTTCATCACTTTCCATTAAAATACTTAGAAATCAACCCATCTGATGTGTTCTTAGGGGAAATTTTCACCACTGTAGACTTGTGTGTAGCTGGTCAAGGCCAGCTGAGCCTTCTGGTAGGAGCATGAGGGCTTATTGCACTTCCATTGCCTTCTGTCCTGGAGCATTCATCCTCTCAGTCCTTTTGGGAATGAAAAAGGTCAGAAGTCAAGACACCCTCTGCATTTTTAGCATGGCATCAGGTTCTTTCCCTGCTTGATTACTGATAGATTGACTTCCAGAGTAAGCTTCTCAGTTTCAAGTGGCCTCTGAGATGCTACTTAAATTCCACATGGGTTCAATAATGCAGTTAAAGCCCTTGCTGATTAGGATGAGGGGCCTGCATGTCTGGCAATCCTTGTGGCCTCTCCTTTCACGGCGATGGGTGGGAATGCCCAAGCCCAGTTCTGATGAGCAGGCTAAAGGAAATGGAGCAGCCTAAGTGAGCAGAGGCTGGCCAAGAAGCAGCTTGGCCGTTGTGTGGCTGGATAGCTGCTTCTGCCAGCAGCGTGGTTTGCTCTTTTGGTGCCTCCATGGAGAAGCTCGGTTTGAGCTGCTGGTCTAAGGCTTCAGTCACCCTTCCCGGTTATCGTTAATTGGAGTTTTTGTTCAGATCAGGCTCTGCTCTGATTTCCCTATTAGGGCTTCCCTTTGTGTCTCACCTCTTGGCTCCTGGAGGCTCATTGTTTTGTTAGCTGAAAGGCTTTGCCTGAACTTCTGAACCTCGGTGTTGGTTGGACTCCCACCGTGGGCTCCCCTAGGAGACCGTCTTTGTCCACGCGGAGGATGGCCACGTTGTACCTCAGGGAGCCCATGCGCTGAAGGAAAAGTGCTTTTCCTCATCACTCTTCCTTTTAAATCAATCTCTTGTCTTCCCAAGAACCCCACCTTGCTAACTCCGCACCAAAGATGCTGTCTGGCCTTTCAAGCAGAAGGCAGCCATGCTTTCTGTGATTTATCCTGTCTTCCCTGTTTCCCACAACAGTGCCATTACCCTAGTCCCAAATTTCTTTCCATTAAATTCTGTCGCTCTGAATTAGGAGCTGATTTGCAGAAGGCTTGGAGGACACGAGAGAGGGAGACTCGCAGGCCCCCGGGCCCCCTGGGCTGGGAAGTGGGTTGTTGTGATTTCCACTCTGGCTGTGCCAGCCTGAAACACAGAGCAGGGAATTGTCCGGCTCATTCAGGAATTCTGGGGCACAGCCAAGAATAACACCCGTATCTTCTAATCCCTGGTTTGTGTTGCTGCAATTGCTCCTCATATTTTCCATTGTTGCGCTTTGGGTTTCACTGAACTGCTTCAGAGGGCTGAGTGATGCTGGCACACAGGGCTGGAGACAGGCTGAGCTTCACTGGGCCCCTGCCTAAAGCATGGTTCTTAGGGGACCAAGGTGAAGTAGGCAGGGAAAACCAAATCACTTCACTATGCAATTTGGCCACAGAGCCAATTCTGTCTAACAGTGTTAGGGCCTGAAGAAAAGGCATAAAGCAGAAGCCAGCCCTTCTTGCAAGCCTACAGCCAGCCACACGTGAGGCTGCAGCTCCAGCAAATCCTGGTGCACATCTGGAGATGGGAAGTTGCAATGAAACAGTCACTGCCCAGAGCTCCTTCTGCTTTGCCATGTGGGAGGACAGGCACAGGGAAGGGTTTGTGATCATCACATGCATGGCTCAGCTGGGCAGGATGCTTGGGAAAGAGATTCCCAGGTTCCAGTGTTCTGTACCAGCAGCCCAGCACGGGGTTGAGATGGGATCACAGTGGTCCCCAGGGATATGTGGCTATGAAGAGCAACTAAAACATTAGATGAGAAAATAGCAGGTTTCTGAACCAACATTTCATCACTGTTTCATTAGTTTAGGGAGGTGAGTATTTGGGTTTCAATGCTACCTTTGTATTACTAAATAATCCTTTTATTTTGGAGGCAGGATTTGAAGAATCATCAGGTCCTTAAAGGAGCCAAAGCTGAGGCTCGAATATTTCAGCTATAGTGCATCTAAGGTGCAAAGTTTGAGGACTTTGGCTCCCAGTAGTGTGTGCCTTGGGACTGGGATAACCCTGACTCTCCCAGCAGGAGACAAACCTCGCTGTCATCTTTCCCCATATTATTTCCACTAAAGCCAAAGCCAAATCTCATCTCTGCTTCAGCAGAGGATGCTTTCCTAAGGATGCAGCGTGTGTTCGCAGGTTGATGGTTCACTTACTCTGCTGGCAGGTTGCTCTGTGCAGGGCAGCAGCATCTTCAGTCACCATAACTGGTGGCTCCATCAGTGCTTGCTCTGTGCTTCTCCTCCTCAATCTGTGTTTCTGAGCCAACAGGTTTTGGATTGCCTGGTCTGTCTTTTGTAATCTCAGCTACTTGAAATAATTATGTTCTCTGGATCCATCAGCTGGATCAATAGGACACAAGGGCCCCAGTAACACGCAGGTGACCGTGATGCTGTTGGCAGTTGCGGCATATTCCTTGCCAGGATGCTTAAACTGTAATCCATGGGTCCCCATTGCTGCTCTTGGACCAGAGGTGTCTGCAATCCAGCCTGGGCTGAGCAGGCACCTCAGGGTAGGTGACTGGGAACTGCTGGACCAGCTCCCACTGAGAAATGCTGGATGATACCATGAGATCTCTTGCACCATGTTGACAGGTGAAGCTCTTTTTGCTCCCCATCGACAGGAGCTTGTTCTGTGTCTGTACACTTTGACAAAGCATGGCACATGTGACAGCATCGCTTGTTCACAGTGTTTCTCCTTCCAAGATGATCATTTTCTAGTGGAAATTGAAACCATTGGCTGTGTTGTGTGAGTTATGGGAAATAGACGTTTCACTGGAAAAACACACCCTTGTTTGTGGTTTTATTTGGGCAATTTCAAAAGGTGGATTTCAGAAGCCTAATTGGGCATTCTCTGTCTCTGTGTACATTTTACACTTCACTTGGTGAGAACAGAGAAACGTGGCTGCTCAGGCTTCCGTACAGTTTAGCTCTATTTCATCCCTCACCCCTTCGGAAGGTGACGCTGCTTTTGGGTCACTGGGAAAGCTCAGAGGAGAGGTGGGAAGCACCTTCCAGGGGTTATTCCTGACAGGTATATCCCATTTCAAAATAAATAACTTCTTTACCTGATATGATTCTGCACAAGCCATTTTCTGACTATTATGCCCACTTCTTGGCTGGAAAAGTGTTGTTGCATCAACAGTCCTGCAGCTCTGCTGCTGATTTCCTGCTAATCCTCACATAGCTGCACTGTAAAAAACCCTTAGACATTGCCCAAGGTATTTTACCTCCTGTGCTTTGAATTTTGAGTGGGAACTTCATCAGGGAATGGGTGTTTATTAGTGCGTGTGCACTTCCCATCCTGATCTGGGGAATTCTTGTATCCCTCCTCTCTGCAGCTGCCTGTGGTTACGGGGTTTGTTTCAACGGTGGGAACTGCGCAGAGGGATCATCGCAGCTCTGCCATTGCTCCTCTGGCTTCCAAGGACCCCGCTGTCAGTACGGTAAGGAGCCTTTGCGTGTTCTTCCTTTCATTTTCAGGTGGAAGGGGAGAGGGTAAAGACAAGGGATGCCCCTGGCCGCTGTTCTACCTGCAGAACTCCAATAATCCGCTCTCTCCTGGTTTTGGCCACTGTTTGTAACGTTTGGGGAACTTGGATGTTTGGAAAGGAAATGCTTATCGTGACTTGCTGTGAAGCATAGCCCTGCACTGTACAATAGCCTTTATTCCTGGCTGCCATCAGCAGTGGGATTTGCTGGAATCGGAGAAGGAAGCTGATTAAAGTTGGGTCAAACAAAGAAACCCCGGGGTCGTGGCCTGTGGAGTGAAGCTCAGCCTGGGGGAGCGTGGCGATGGGCTGCCACAACTGGATCAGTGATATCCTGCTTAGGCTTCATTTTGGGGCGGCTAAGCTTTATTTAATTAGCCTTCATGTGATATACAAATGCTCTTCCGGAGGTGCTTGTGTTTCCCGTGTTCGGTGGTTCACAGATGTTCTGATCTGGTAACATGAGAGTCTATAGCAAACAGCCCCTGAGAGCTGGAAGGGTTCCCTGCGCTGCACACACGGTCAGAAAAACCCAGCCCCAGAGTGACCAGGACAGAGGGTGGGAAGGTCACCACGAGAGCTCAGCAGCTCAGGGAGCATGTGCATCCTGCCACTGTGTTATGAGAGGGCGAGGTCTTAGACCCATACAGTAGTTTGGGTTGGAAGGGACCTTCAAGGCTCATCTAGTCCAACCCCCTGCAATGCTTTCCATTATTTATAGCATTTTCCAAAAGCCACAGTCCTTGCCACAGGGAATGTGATGATGGAGGATACGGGAAGATCCCTGCCACAAATTCCCTTCCGCTTCCTTTCTCACTGACTCCTGTAAATGATTTTTCTTGGTAAATGCTTTTTCAACACATTCCTGGAGGAAATCTACTTGTCTGTATTCCCGTCTTCTCCTTCACTGCTCAAAGGACTCAGGGTGGTTAACTTCTGTGGTGCCAGCCAGCATTTGTGCTGGGTCTTAAGGATGGGAGGCTTTTCCTCACCTGCCACCTCTAAAAAGCTATCCTGGTATTGGAGATGGTGATGCCTTCTTGAGAAACAGCTCCCCAGGACAGTTGTGCAGCATTTACTGGGCTGAACTGGGGCTCTCTGATAGAGAGGCTGTTTAATAAACAGTGTGAAAATAACCCAGAGGGAATGCTGAGTTGCTCCATGGTGATATTCTTTAGTGTCATTCCAGAAATCTCAGTGTCTGATCTTAATGGTATCACCTTTTCTTTCCTGGAGGAAATAGGGATGTGTCTGTTTTAAAGGCAGGACGTTCTCTGTTCTGGCCAGGCTCTTATCATACCTTTCAGCATGGGATATTTTTACTGGCCAGCCTAGAGCAGCAGCAATCCTGTCCTTACCCTGGCTGGAGAGCAGGCGGAATCCCATCAGTCTGGCTCTCAGGGGTGAGATGTCCTTCCTGAGCTCCCTAGCTGCTGGAAGTGGTAGTGTTTGAGCACTGTCCATCTGCATTAAATCCTCTCACTCTGAAGGCGAACCTCTCGATAGGGCCACGAGAGCTCTTTCAGGAAGGTCTGCACTACATCTTGTTTACCTATCCCAGTTTCAGCACCTTTTCTGCTACCTCTCGGTGCCTTTTTGATCCAGTAAAGTGCTGTCACTGTTGGGATTTATCTCCCCCCCCCCAAATGTGGTATTGCCAACCTGCCATAAGTGGAGTACAAAAGAGGAGGTTGAGCTGAGCAATGTTATAGTGACTGGAGAGACTGCTTCGGAACGGAGGGAGCAGCTGGGTTGTCCCAAACTCCTTGGTTATCTTCCATGTCTGGTAGATGAAAGGGTTGTAAATGGAGTGTTTGAGGTTTGGTTTGGGCTGAGGCTGTCTTTTGGAGCTCCCCTCTTTGAGCTTGGATGTAAATGACCTTTCTGCAGAGGGCTGGTTGCCGGGAGGGAGGGGGTGCTGGGAGCCTGGGCTCTGCTCCAAGCCTTCCCAAAGGACCCTCAGACCACCCGAGGCTTCGGGGTCCGGGTGAGGTGAACTCGGCATCCCCAAGCAGCGGAGCAGCTCCGGTGCTGCCCGAGACCTCACTCACCGGGGGTTGGAACGTTCACGGCAGGGATGGGGAGCATAAAGCTTGTTGTTATTTGCCTGCCTCTCGTGCTGCAGATCAGCTGCTCGGCTTCAGCCTTTGCTTACTGACCCTTTCCTGGTGGAGTGGATCCTCTCAGCAACACTCAGACTTGGGGCTCCCTGTGGGAATGCTGCTGCAGGGACAGGACCCTTCCTAATTAGCCCGGCTGCGTTTTGAATGCTCGGCCAGCCCCGGGCTTCTTTAGCTGTGCACAAAGGAGAGGTCAACTGTAAGCAAGCAGGGCCCGTGATTAGTGTCTGCTTTTGCAAGGGCAGCTGAAATGGCTTTGTCACCGCTTCAGGAGACCATTATTGCCCCTTTCTTTCCTAGCGCTGCCCTCATTTACACAAGCATTTGACATGCCCTCCGTGTTGTTTGATTGACTAACGACCCTATTTCTCCTGCTGATCTCTGGAGCTGTTCAGTTGAAGCCTCTGCAGTGTGTTAGGGCATGGGCTGCTTGGGTGGAGGCGTGGGAGAGAGGGGTTTGCAGCAGCCTTGGGGCTAGAGGTGGTAACCAAAGAGAGACACAGGCCTGCAGAGCACACAGAGTTGGAATGGGAAAGGTTTTGTCTTTGGAAGCAAAGGGGGAAAGGAAAACACCTTGTAGACTTGGTCCCAGGAGCCTCTTTCCAAGTTGGAAAGATGCCCCCAGAGAGCATGAATGGGTGACAATGCTTGGTTGGGCTCAGGTGACTTCCCTGCACCAGGGAGATCCCAGTGCTGATTCCAGAATGACAATAGCAAGATATTGTGTTGGTGTTGCATGGATTTAAAGTTCACAAGGCCGATTTAAAGCCCATTTGTGGGATGAAATAGTGGCAATGGTTCTTCGGGTGTCAGTTTATTGGAGAGAGTACATATTTAACAATACCAGGGCTAAATTAAGCTGAGTGTTTCTCCAACAGCCAACAAGTCTGGATACTCTTATAAGCAGTCTCCTGATGCAAAGGCTTAACCTTCTGCTGTGGAGGGGAGAAGAGCCTGAGCCCAGACATTTCTGCTAGTCCGTGGTTCTGCCGTGCAGCTCTGCCTGCTGGGATTTTCCCTCTTTTTGGCTCAGGAAGGCAGTGGAACAAGAGCAGCTTGTGCAGAGCTCTGCTTCGTCCTGTGCTATCTGCTTGTCCATCAGCCAAACACGAGGTATTTAATAGCTGGCAAACAGGTAGCACTGAACTCTTTGAAGAAGTCGGTGAGAGGAAACAAGCCAAGGGTATGCAGGGGCTTATTCAGTTAAAAAGAAGGAGTCTTTTGTGAAGCAAGTCTTTAAAGGAAGAGGAAGGGTGCTGAAGCTGGAGGAATAGCTGGGGTAGTACCTGCGAAATGAGTTTCCTTGGACTTCCATCCTTTGGGAAACCGGGGGCCCAGGATCCCTCACCAGGACGCACAACACAGTGCTCATTGCAAGCTTCCTGGCACGATCTCTGGATAGAAACCTGGACGTAAATGCAGGGCAATTACTCTATGAATAACTTCACAGTTCATATGATTTGAGTTTCCAGAGGTTAACTGGAGTACAGTGAACAGCCCTCTGCATGTACGCTCTCACGTTTAAAGTGGTCCAGCTTTGTCCAGCATCATCTATGAGTGATGTAGTGTATGCACATGCAAAATACTACTGACATGCTTGTTTAAAGGAATATGATAGTGGGTGAAAAAGAGACTAAAGTCTTCAGGGCCTTACTGGATTTGAAACATGGCTTTCTTGTCCTCTTCAAGCTTTCCTTGGGTTGAACTCAAGAATTAAGGATTTCATTATAATTTAAAAGAGGTGATTGTGTTCAGTGCAAGAAAAATGTATGGCTTAAGTTCTTGAGACGACTTGCAGCTCTTTGCTCAGGTTTTGGCAAACAAATGAGAGAGGAATCCTCTCGCTGACGTTGCACGGGTTTGAAATTTCCATGTAGATCTTTACTGCTCCCACATTAAGGTCTGTCAGGGGTAAGAAAAGCTTGGAAGGGGATTTCTATTGTGCCATGCAGAGAAGACCACATCTCCACCCTGTTCTGAGGGATTCCTACCTTGGTCCAAGCCCTGTGAAGTGCTTCAAAGTGACGCACGGGGTTTGTTTCCCTTTGTGAGGACTGAAACTCCTCAGCACCTCCCGTGATCAAATCCTTCATTACTGCAGTGCCAGCACCATGGCAGAAGGTCGGCTCCGCGCTAATCTCCCTGCAAGGATTTCCGGGAATGTCTGCAGCCGGCTGTGACCAATTAAAAAGGGGGGTTGTGTTTGCAAGGCAGCTCTCGGAGCTGACAGGGCTCCAAAGAGCTTTACATTTAGGGAGCAGGGTAGCCTACCCTAAGCATTTTCTTCTCCTAAACTATCTGTTGAAAGTAACAGAGCCCGGAGCTGAGACAGGGGATATTTATATAGGGGAGCAGACTGTTTTCCAAGCGATGAAAAATACTCCAGTCTCACAAAGGAGCACTGGGATCCCATCGTGTAATTGGCAATAGGAAGAACTGGATACCTGAGTGCCAAGTAGACTGAATTAATGCTGAATCCTTGGACCGTTACTGGAGAGGACGAGATCATCCCCCAGGTCTGGTAGCCAAGGGCCATCCAAGCTTCCAGCTGCTCACCCAGCTGGCTGCTTCCTCGAAAAGACAGACTGATAACAAACCACAGAGTGGTCCAGCCTATGGAAGGACCGTTTCGGGGGCATGGCTGAGGTGTGCCGCTTCTGTCTGCTTGTGCTTGGCCACTCGCCCCTTTGCGTTTGGCTGTTGTGTGTAATGGAAGAGAAGTGACCCAGGACGGCTTAATGCTCAGGACCTGTAATAGTCATGGAATTGTTTAGGTTGGACGAGACCTTTCAGATCCTCGAGTCCAACTGTTAACCTAATCTTCCCTTGTTTCCTGGGGATCTCGTGGAAACTGGTGGTGCGGGATCCACACTGGCCATAGGCACAAGGGAACGGGTTCCAACCAAAACAGGGGGTTTAGTGAGTGAAATGAGGAGCGGAGGCCAACGCAGAAAAGATAAGCACTGCTGTGAAACCTTCCTGGGATTTTCAGGATTAATTCCTGCTTGCATACATAGCACGGTCTGTAATAAATCATCGGAATGTTGTGCTTCCAATTTCTGGGTTTGGAAAGGTTGGAGAAAATATTTTCTTCCTCATTATGTGCTGCCTTCTCCAAAGCGTTTTTGTACAGCAGTGCTCTCTAGCAGGTGATAACATCTTTTAACCAGCCTCTGAAAGCCCTTATCTCCACCTCAGCCGCAGGTTTGCTTTTCATTTCTTGCTTCATTTGTTGTGTTTCAGTCTGTTTCCTCTCCTTTGGTCTCAGCGCTGCTGTAGAACTTGTGTGATAATTCAGGAAAGCCTACGTTGAGATTCCAGTCATTACAGATGCTCCTCTTCCCAGGAAGGTGCTCAGAGGATTCCTGCTCCAGAGGTTTAGTTAATGAGAGTTATCAGAGGAAGGGAGGACACTTTCTGTATATCCTTGATCCAAGTTCAAGTGCTTGTGCATTCCTCTTGTGCAATGCAGGTCTTTTCCTGGGCCATAAGCTTGTTCTTCTGTGCTGCCTTAACCTGCCTAAGTTGGTTGATAACAGAGGGGAGGGAAATCTCCCACTGACATCCCCCACAAGCAGATTAAGGGTGGCAGAGCCAGCAAAGGCGTTTGTTACAGCCGCTTTTTACTGTGAAATAGGTTACAAACTTCAGGTGAAAAATGGCATTTTGGAAAATGGGAATCCATCCTGTTGTGCGTATATTTGTGTATGGAGGTTTGTGAACAGCAGGATATAACAGTATATACGTGGCTTATAGCATATTAATACCACCAGCTAGTATTTAAGAACATATATTGCATTTTAACAGCTCCCTCATTGGAAACATGGAAGTGATTTGCAGCGCAGTGACTATTTCCCTATTTTCTTTATCATCCTGGCCATACACGAGCACACAGACCCTTCTGGCACACCCAGACTCACACTTCACCAAAGCCAAGTGGCTCCGCGTGCACACGCAGACACGTGCTGTATATAGCTGTGCAGACAGTTTGTCTTTGCATAATTCAGTGTTCGTGGGGCCTTTGTAACCCCTTTAAAATGGGAATATGAAGGGGTTAGACCCTCTGTCTCCATAAACCAGCCAAGAAGCGTATTGGAAGGCCAGCAGGTGTTTTTAGTTTGCTGTATGTGAATGCATATTAACTGTCTGTCTTCTGCCTCCCCAAGCTAATAAACCCTCAGTTGAATCTGGAAGCCCTCCACTCAACCCCAGAGCAGCAGGCGGCCCCGCATGGTGATGCCAAGAAGTCCCACCAAACTCCATTCTCCTCCATGGACCGTCTCTCACAGGCTAGACACTGGGGCTGCTGGCCTTTAGCTGCTCTCTGAAGTAACATCGTGTTGGTTTGCTTTCCCTTGATGCTGGGCCACGAGCTGAAAAGCCTGTCATTTAGGACACTGTCATTGCTGTTGAGGTTTGCCTTGCACATCACTGTGCATGTCATTGGCCGGCCGGCTCAATTGTGGGTGCACACAGGCCGTGGCTATTGGTAGCTTTGCAGTGGATGTTTCTCACCCTAATAAGTGCATCTCCCTTGCTCGGGCGCCTTCATCCAGGCTTCACAAAGAGGTCTTGTAGGTGGCAGTGATTTAACTCTTACCGCACTGATTTGAGGTGGGACCCCACTGCAAACAGTACAAATGAACAGTGACAACAAAGATGTAGAAACCCCCATATTTGCCAATTAAAATAGTGATTCTTTTTCTTTAGAGATTTAAGGGCTTGCTTAAAGGCTGGCTAGATCACAACCAGAGCTCCAAAGCAGTTGTTTCGAATCCACGATAATGGAGGTCAGTCATGCTGAGTCGTGGTCCTGGTCTGATCGTCGGAGATCAAAGAGCCAAAATAATTCAGCCCTGTGTGATAAATGTGAGTGATGGGTAGGATGCTGGGTGCCTTTCGCTGCTTTAATGGAACGGTGAGCAGTGGATAAAGGGGATGGGTGGGTTTTAAGCTGTTGAAGAGAATCCAGGGGATATGGTGCCTTTCCTCAGCATACCACTGTGTTTCGTGAGGCAGGCTGGGTTTCAGTACAGCAGATGCTGAGATAATGGAGGCCAGATGTATGTCATTAGAGGATACCTCTTTTTACCAGCTGCAAATTGTCCGTCACTTCCTCTGCTGTACATTTCATCGTGAGAAGCTTGAATTCCCACAATTTACTGGTATCTCAGATGTTATCAGGCTTCTCTTTAACTGATAAATAATGGGTTTAAGCAGCCCAAGCCAATCACAAGTGGAAAAGTCAAATAATAAATTGTGATTTGTATTTGTTCAGGAGCTCTGTTATGCTTCGCCTTGATAAACTTGCCCAGAAAATTATATTCTGCATTTAACTTGTAAACCGAATCCCTAGAAAACTCCAAGGATTTCAGTGAAGGAATGCCAGAGATGTTTTTGTGCTTATGTGAGAGTAAGACATGGCTTTTCACTTTGCAGTCTCCAGTGTAACAGGATATGCTCTTTAAAACCACACATTTTTAAACTGCAGAGATGGCTAAAAAGAGACCATTGAGGCGTGCAGACAGTAGGAATGCAGAATGCACCGTGGCATAGCTGGGGATAAATTTGTTATCCCCAGCTCATTATCAAAATGCTATTACTTTACACAGGCCGTTCATCAGAAAGGAGCTGAGGTTTCTGCGAGACTTCGTACGTGGTGTTTGATGCATCTCCGTAGCACACTCTGCTAGTTTCTTAGTCTGTGTATGAATTAGTTCTGGGAATACCCCACTTTCTAAGGCTTTTTCAGATTCTTCCTTCCTGTGTGTGTTTCCCAGGCACAACGCTTCAGAAATCCATATTCTTGAGAAGGTTTGTAAGTCATTTCATCTCAAACCTAGACAAAAGGCTCGTGAGGAAAACCCTGCCACTGACTTACTCTGGGGACTTGCAAGGAATAAACGACTCAGGTCTCCTACAAGGGAGGTGTCTGAGGTGTCTGTACCACCATTTCACATAGCTGGAAGTGCAGCACCAATTCCTATGCAGTGCATTGACCTGGGCCTTTCTAAATGTGCCCATGGAGAGCGGTGGTGTTTGAAATGTGTAGGAGAAACAGATGTAGAAAATGGGTTTTGGGAAACAGGAGATCAGGTAATTGCTCTGGTTTAAAGTGATTTAGGCACTATCCCCCTCCATTGCGGGCTGGGGAACAGCCCTGATCTGCGCAGAGGAATACTTATTCCTAGCAAATAAATACATTATTTCCACCTTTGTTTTTCCTGGTTGCTCAGGATCCCACCTCATTAATAGTGAAGACTTGGGAATGTCAAGTATCTGGAGTATCTGGGTACGGGAGGTGTACAATGGATCTCTGGGGCAGGTGGTCACTGAGCTCCATTTTCCTCCTGGAGGTGTTTGGCTCTGATTTGGTTCACCTCTCGTTCTGATGGCCTGCACAGCACTGAACGTCCCTGTCGAGCAAAGAGCTTTGAACTGAAACTGCTTCTTCAAGAGGGAATTTCAAGTTTCAAGCATCACATCTGTGCTTTTTTCTGTCTTCCTTTTTTAACTTGTGAATCTAACAAGAGGCCGGTAGCAATGACCCTTTCATTAGAGACAAAAGGGAGCGTGTATAAATGTCTTTTGTGGCTTGGCAGTGAACTTGCTGAGGACAACATAAAACGTGCTCATTAAATGGTCTTTAAACAGCATTGCTTTTTGTTTGCAGAAGCAATGTGATGTTTCATCCCACCATTAATTGCCTAATACCAATTATGGCATAAACAAGCCATTTGCTATTGTAACTTTTTCAATGTATTTTTCAAGGTTCTTACTCTTGACACCTCTTGTGCATCTGGGGACGTGAGCGGCTTTTGTACTGGAATATAAATGATGGGACGAGTGATCAATAGTTTTAGAACATTAATGTTACTGCAGCTCTTGAGAGCCTCACAATAATCCCCCTTGGATGCTTTGTCATATTGAACTTAATTATCTGGAGACAAAGAGACTAGGAGAGGATTCTGTTTTCCCATGGCATTGCCAGTTCAGAGTAAGATGTGTACTGCCCGTTGTGCATCAGGAGCTGAGTGAGCAAGTCCCAGGGGAGAGGTACCCTCTGTTGGCGTTGAACAGTCAAAATGTTGCCAAGTGCCTAGAAAGACTGGGCAAAGAACAACTGTGATCACTGACCCTGCTGGTTATAACCTTTCTACCCGAGGTCAGAGTCTGCTTTATGGTCTTGGAGCGCTTCTGACTATGTTCCAGCCACAAAGTGGCAGGAGGCTGGAAGGAGCAGCTGACGGTCGATGCTTCGGAGCTTTCACAGATGCTTGGTTTAGGATTCGCATTCAGTTTGAACCTGAGCAGTGAAATGTCTGAATGTCAAACCAATTCTTCTCGTGCCCGTACCTCTCGTTTCCCGCTTTGGAAGCGGAGCCTTCTCCGTTGTCTGGTTGCGGCTTGTTTGTAGTCATAGCTGGGGCTTTCTAACTTAGCACCTGCACCTTCTCTGTTCATTTCTCTTGAAATTCACTTGCTTCCACTCACCCTGTAGCATTGCTGTGAGCACCAGCGGGTGCATTCCCTGGTACCTACACTGGGGTTGTCTCTGTGAGGGCAATAGGAATGATTACGTTGGCATCAATGCTTTGTTCCTTCTTTGAGTGAGAGGAGAACTTTGATTTCTTTATTCTGGTTAGCCTTCTGCTAAGAGACAAGTGTTGATCCCCATCCCAGGAGGGTGCTTTCCGCAGCTGAGCAGCTCTGCCACATCCCTGTAGCAGCTCATAAAGCCATGGACAGACTCGGGTGCATGAAGCAGCACAGCTAGCAGGACTCCTGAGGTAGGTATGTCTTTTGATGCTTTAGCTGGAGAGCCCGCAGTGGCAGGTTACATGCCTGGGCCATGGGAAGGCAATGTGGTGAGGCTGGGATGTATGTGGAGCCCACATCTCCACTTATCTCCAGTCCCTGTCTGGACTCTTTAGAGCACCAGTGTTTCTTCTAAACCTTTCCACTAGGTTTGGATCACTTGTAGCTTGATTCTGTGCGGGTCTCACTGGCTTTGGACTGGGGCAATGTCACTGGTGAGAGCAAAGCCCTTGCTCATTGCCTCGCCACCTCAGATGTGTGGCACTAGGTCTGGCCTAGCCTGGGTGCTTTGCTGTGGGAGCAGGAGACCAGACCCATTTAACCAGGCTCTGTTCAGAGGCACGTGCCATGGGGACACAGGGCTGAAGGTCACCGGCTGCCCAGTGAGCACAGAGCCTCACCCTGGCATGAGAAGCAGTCAAGAGCAGCACAAACCCGGTGCTGACGTTCACACCTTCCTAGCTCAGCCCTGGCAAACGCATCCGTGAGCTCATGGAGCTGAGGTCACTTCGGAGGTCTGGAAACTCTGAAGGAAGCCTCTTCGGTGTCTCCGTAAGAGGAACAGAGGCTCCTTCCCGGGAGAGCCGTCTCCCCGCCTTTCCCTGAAATGCAGTTTTGGCTACAGAGTAGGGAAAAAACCCCATCAAACACCAGCCCGTGTGCGGAGCTCCCGAAGGGAAGCCTTGGAAAGCCTGCCAAGAGCAGTGCGTTTTTATATCGCATCCATTATATATAATGTGTCAAAAGAGAATTCTCTCCACTATGGAGGGGTATTTATAGCCCATAAGGTTTTATGGCAGAAGCACGGAGTCTAAGGTTACTCTGGTCAGGCTGCTGCCTCCGACTTCAGCAGGAGCAGGTCTCGAGAGCGGGAGGACAGCCTTGGAGAGGGAAGATCCCAGCTGTGATCCTGGGTCATTGTTTCACTGGAAAGACCTTGTCCTAGAACAGCTTGAAAAGGCAATGAAGCAAACGCACCTCTGTCGTGTTTTACCTGAACTGAGCCGCTGGAGCGCTGGAGCTTCGTGTTCCTTAAAAAGCAGACAGAATCCTTTGGAGTTTTTCATGGCACAGCCCATCGTGTCCAGTTTAAAAAGACCTGCAAAGTTTATGGTCAGTGTAGGTCAACTCACTGCCGTAAGCAGCTTTCAGTTCAAAAAGGCCCTAACCGTGCTATAGATTCAATGTAAGGTGCCCGTCTCACATAGTTATATCTGTGAGAAGTTTAGCAGGAGCCAAAAATGATATTGCAACTGCTCTGGAAAGTTGGCTCTTGCTAAACAGGGGATTTCAGGTTGCACGTGCGCCGTTGGTGTGTGTGGGAATGACACCACTGTGAGAGCATGAACCTGTGGTCCCCAGTCTCTTTCTTCGGGCACTCTCCAAGCCTTGGCTTACCCCAGGCAGTGCACATAAATACAGATGTATGTGCATGTACATTGTGAATCTTCGTGCTCGCTGTTGTGCTTCCTACCTCAACATGTCTTAACAAGCATTGCAGAAACGACCTGCCCTTCCCATAGCAGCAGATAAAGCCTCTGTAGCTTATGAGATAAAGACCAGATACATCAGAAGTTTTTAAGAAAGTACATGGAAATGAGCAGAAAAGTGCAGATGATGGCAGTTTGGATAGAAAATTGCAGAAGGAATTATGGGTGAACAAAGAAGCCTGTGGAAAGCAATGAACATTGCACTGAGTAAGTTTTATCTGAGCACTGCAGGAAGCTACAGAGCTATCAACGATAATCTGCTCCCTGCAGACCACGGCAGATCCCATCAGGCATGTTCTCCTGAAAGGCTCTGCTCTCTTTTGGGGAGAAAAAAAGAGGAAAGAGCGATTTCCTGTCTGTGCTGCCTGTCCTGGCTATCTGCTGGGGCTCTGGTACTGCAGAGCAGGAGGAGACGGGCTGAGGCAGTCTGGGCATTTGGTACACTCCATGGAAAGACACTGAGCTTATAGACGGTGAGGTGGGAAAGGTGAGAATC